CAATTGGAAAAAAAAACTTTATTAGGCGAATCTCACGTCGAGGAAGGACGCCAGAGCCTTGAGGCCATGGGTTCGGTGACAAACTGCTGCAGTATTACTCTTTTTGCCTGGGTTTGGGGAAGGCATCAGGGGCCCGGAGGGTTACGTGAACGCCACTCAAACCATCATACCGCACCCCAAGCCTAATAGCGGGGTCGAGGAGGCGGGGACCAGGCCGAGCCTGGGTGGGACGGAGCCAGAACCCTAAGGGTCCCGAGTCTGAGCTCCGCGTCGCTGTAGACCCACCCCTACGGGGCAGGCCCCGCACTTCCATGGCGGCGCCTTTGTCTGCCCCTAGGAGAGCTGCTCCCTCGAGCACTGGCGGCGCATCAGAGGCCTCGGCGAAGCCCGACAGGCAGGGTCTGCCCCGTGCTGGAAGTCGGAAAGCCCGTCGTGAACTCGCGACGCTCAAGGACTCGTGACCTGTGCGTCTCAGTACACACGAAAGCGGGAGGGATCCTGTTACCCAAACCGAGTGGCTGTTAGTGGGGAAGTGACACTCTAAAGAACCGTTTTCACTCTTGGCCCCTCCCCGGCAGGCCAGTCTTTCTGAGACGATCCAGGACTCCTCCTCCTGGGGCCTGGGATGGAGGCCGTGCCCGGGGCTGCTAAACCAGGCTTGTTTACTTACAACTGCTCGGAGGCGAAGGGTGGACAGGGGAGCTGGAAGAAGCGGAGGTGACCAACTCCCTTAGCTACAGGCCCCACAGGCATAGCAGCCCTACAAGCCTGTTGCGGACAAACGCAGTGGGGATGCAGAGATAAATTAGTCTCCTTTCAGGGGTGGGGGAGAGGCCAGCAAATCTATAATCACGGTGAAAAGAGATTAGGGCTGTGCCAAAAGCTCAGAGGTGGTTCATAATCCCACTGGATACAAGTTCTCCACAGGGCCAAATTCAAATTGGAGATATGTACAAGAGGTGAGCAAGATGGTTCAAGACAGAGAACAGATTTCTGTAGACTTGGAGACCAAAAGTAACTTCAGTGAGAAGTCAAAGGTAAGGCCAGATGAATGGACAGTGCTGTAGGCAGCTGCAGGGTATCTAGATTTTATCCTGAGGGCCGTAGGGAGCCACAGAAGGGTTTGGAGCAAGGTACTTCCATGTTCAGAATTCTGAATCACTGGATTGAATTGGGAGTGGGGGACGTTAGAGGCAGAAGAGGATGTCTTAACAGTGGTCAAGACAAGGGAGCAAATGGCATTAAGTGGGTGTAACATCCTCACAATAAGCTGTCCTACTTTCAAAGGATCTCCAACCTTGAGGGGCTGAGAGTACAACTTAGAGGCCAAAGGCCACACTAACTTTGCAAAGCCTTCTGCCCCAGGCAGATGGCTGGCCTGCCAATTAGCTGGCATGGTATAGTAAAAAGCCCCAGAAGATTGTCCAATTCATCTCCCCCTCCCCATAAAACAAAGCAATTTCAGGATATGTTCCCCTGCCCCCACACACATACCTCCTATGTTATCATCTGGATGGAGAAAATGGACCTTTATCTAGCCTCTCTGCCCTCCAAACATGACTTTACCTGAACCAGGGATTCAGCCAGCCAGGCCAGGGAAAAGGCAAGTGGGAGACTGGTCCTGTCAACCCCACTGATAGGAAGGGACCACAGAAGCTGTAGATAGTTTGAAAAGTTAACCCATTCATCAAATACTGAATGATGCAGTGTTCTCAGCCACTGCACCTAAAGAAAACTTAGAAGGGGTCAGGTCTTGAGGAAGGTCTCTGGTCTGGAGGAAACTGAGAACCCTATGATGGAGTGATGAGGACTGGGGCAGGGGAGGGCACTAACTTTAGGAAGAATGTCACCACTTTTTTAAGAAAGGCAGCAATGGCTGGAAGCTCTGCAGGCTGTGACAGGGCCCCGCCACCACATACACACACCAGTACATGAACTCTGTCCACCCCTTTTCCTCAGTTAGGGCCAGGACCTCCCCCCCATGAGCTCTTACTCAGGCCAGCTCCAAAGCTCTTAGATGGCAGGAGGCCACCTGACTCACCTCCAGCCTTCTGAGAGCCCTGTGAAACCAGGAAGCTCAGGGGATCAGTGCAGTAGATAGAACCCTAGACTGGGCCAGCTATGTGGGCCCCCTCTCCCTCCTGTGTAAATGCCAGCCAGGTCTGAAACTTAAGTAAAACCATCTATTTCATCAGTTGCCCCAGGCCTGGCTCTGAGCCCCCACTGCTGAATGCTCTCCTTTGGCCCTCCCCACAAGCTCGTTTGATACTTGTGTGCCTGCTCACAACCCCTATGACGAGGCTTGCCATAGGGGACACAAGAACTGCCCTTGAGCAGCTCCAGTCTACAACTGAAGAAAGTTAGTTGCTGAAGTCAGCACAGGGTGCTGAGAAGTCAGGGTCAGCACTTTGTCCTCAAATGCTAGGCTAAGGAGTTTGGACTTGATTCAAAGGGCAGTGAAGAGCCATGGAAGAGTTCTGAGCAAGAGTGACACCTGGAAGGAACTAAGAGTGCAGGACTGCAGGGGTAAGAGGTTCCCCATTTATCTGCACAAAGTCCAGACTTCTTGCTGTGGTCTTTGGAAGACCTGCCACCTTCTCTAGCCTTACTCATCCCTCCCTCTCATATATCAAAACCATTTGTCCCCAAAATGTGATGAGCTAAGAGGAAGTCCTCAATCAAGATGGCTGGAATTGATAGATAAGTGTTATAGCCACTACCCCAGAGAGGGGTTTGGGTGTCTAAGTGGCCTTAGTTTAAGGTAGGCATGGTGAGAACAGTGGATGGAGCTTTCAGACCTGACTGGGTCCTCCATTCAGTCCCAGGTCTTAGGTAGGTCACTCGGAGACCAGGGTGGGCATCACTGAGGAGTGCAAAAGTGAAAAAGTGAGACCATTTATGGGCCAACATATTCAACCAGGATTTTTGTCAGACACCCTTAGTCATGGAACATGCACCTACCTACCTACTCCCCTGTGAATGACCCTCTCCCCAGTACTTCTCCTGGGCCCTCAAAGTCCCCACACTTCAGCCTCTGTCTTAGTAGCTGGCCTCTACCCATCTCTCGCCATTGCCCAGAAATGAACCTGACCCTGTCAGAGAAGGGGTTTCCCCAGGAAACCACAATGGTAGGCAAAGAGGCTGGAGAACAAAGCCTAACCCCACAGGGGCAGTGGGTCTTAAGACTGAATACCTAGCCCACAGGGTGGTCCTATAAGCTCTGACTGGCTCAGGATGCCT